CAATTTAAACAAACAAGCATTTTTGAAATTAGTATCCAATCTTTGAGAATTGTCACACATGAATATGATGATAAAAATCCATATACATACACAAATTAACATTTACATATATATTTAGGATGTGTATATACGGCTGTAGCTGTAAATGTTTAAAAGTGTATGTATTTCAAAAAGTAAGTACATTTTAAAAAGTTTATGAAAAAAAAAGGATTTTTAAACTGTACTCTAGAGAATGTATAAGGGAAAAAAGCATAAAACTTACACTAATACTAATACAAGTTGGTTCATTTAAGTTCACCGAGATAGTGAGTTTTCAATGGTTGGTTGTTGGGTTTTGCAATAGAAGCTAAGTACTGGAAAGTTGTGATGATAACCTAGAATATAAATTTATATATTCATATTTCTCAGTGTATATCGTCATAGCAAATGCACAACTTCACTTTCTATAGTTTTCAAGGAAGAAACTAAAATATTTATGAAATAAAAATTGCATACATTCATACATTAGTTTACGATACAACCGACGATATGTATGTGTATTTTATATAAATGTTCATGTAAATGTATAAATATGAATTTACATTAAAACTGAATTTTTTTTTTGTATGCAAAAAATCATTGCAACTGACAAAGAGGAAGTATTCCTAGTAATAAAAAAGATAGTTTTAAATATTTTAATTCATGCTGTTTTTGAAAGGCATTACAACATTGAAAACTAGACTTTGTAAACTATTTCATGGAAATTTAATTGCATTTTTTTACTATTTATATATTTATCTATTATTACGGAATATTTTTATCAGTTCTTTGGTGGGTAAATAAATTGTTTTAATTCTGATTTTACGGAAAAATAAATTTCAAATATTAATGCTGTACACATATATGTAAATACACATACATACATACATACATACATACATACATACATACATACATACATATGTATCTATTTTGATTTCAGCTTTTAATACAGTGCAGAATTATTCAAATTTCTGTAGGATTAAGTAAACAAATTTTGATTTATGTTTTTGTGGCACATTGACGTATGATTTATAATTATTTATTGACATTTGTATAATAATATTACTCATACGCAATATTTTAGTAAAAATTTATTCAATACTCATACGCAACTGTGAAACAGTTTAAAAATTAATTGGTAATAAGTAGGGATGCCAAATTAAAAACTGGATTTCCAAAATTTTCACATCTTTATGGATTTACAAATGCTGAATCCTAAGATTATACAAATCTACCCTGATAGACATTCCTTGTAATACGTTTAACTTCCAAAATACTGGTACATACACACATACATAGTGCATATATTTTTTTTGAAACCTGGTATGTTTACAATATACATTCTTTCTCTACACATTGTGGCATACTTCCCCCATAAATAAAAAAAAAATATTTCATACTCGCAGCTGTAACGTCTATGCAACATTTTCTTATCTCAATTGTTTGAATCTCTCTAAACTTTGGTTTGCTAATTTCAGAGGTTAGATATTTATCTGAACAGCAACAAATTGTATGGATTGTACACTTAAAGTTAACACCAACAACACTAACAGCAGTACCACCATCACCACTGAAAGCAACATAAACAACAACAACAGAAGGCACATGCAACATGATCTTTAAATAAAAATCAAAAACTAAATGTGTTGGTTGTTGGTATCAAGTATAGAAAAACTCAAGGCAAACTTTTAAAGTAGATAAATAAATATTTGCTGGCACGAGTTTAAATAGTAAAATTCATATTAAACTTATAAAATTTGTACATTTATTTTATTAACTATAAAAAAGTATTTCTTGTTCCTTGTATGTTTAAACGTGTTCGTGTACCTTTTTTTTGGAGAAAAAAGGAATACAATTTCAACCCCTTTCACTTTCGTTTGATATCGTAAACGTGCAGCATAAAACTTAACTAGCGATATATGAGCGGCATTTGAAACGGAAAAAGAATACAAAGAACACAGAACATGAACTAAAAATAAAAATGAAGAAAAAAATGCGGAATAAATGAACGAATTATAACTGCTCATTGTAACCCAATCTATGGTTAAAGTGAAAAGAAAGTTCAAGTGTGACATACATTCTCGGTGATTATGTTAAGGGCGAGTAAAAGTCAGTTGTCAAGAGAGACTATAGTCGTTTTAGCTGGAGATTTCAACAAACGTATGCAGATTTTTGGCGTTTTTATAAGAAATATTGAATGTTTCGCATATAAAATGTGGTAATTACAAATGAATAGTCTATAGTCTAGTCTATAGTCTAGTCTATAGTATAGTCTATAGTCTAGTCTTTAGTCTAGTCTATAGTCTAGTCTATAGCCTAGTCTATAGTCTAGTCTATAGTCTAGTCTATAGTCTAGTCTATAGTCTAGTCTATAGTCTAGTCTATCGTCTAGTCTATAGTCTAGTCTATAGTCTAGTCTATAGTCTAGTCTATAGTCTAGTCTATAGTCTAGTCTATAGTCTAGTCTATAGTCTAGTCTATAGTCTAGTCTATAGTCTAGTCTATAGTCTAGTCTTTAGTCTAGTCTATAGTCTAGTCTATAGTCTAGTCTATAGTCTAGTCCATAGTCTAGTCTATAGTCTAGTCTATCGTCTAGTCTACCGTCTAGTCTATAGTCTAGTCTATAGTCTAGTCTATAGTCTAGTCTATAGTCTAGTCTATAGTCTAGTCTATAGTCTAGTCTATAGTCTAGTCTATAGTCTAGTCTATAGTCTAGTCTATAGTCTAGTCTATAGTCTAGTCTATAGTCTAGTCTATAGTCTAGTCTATAGTCTAGTCTATAGTCTAGTCTATAGTCTAGTCTATAGTCTAGTCTATAGTCTAGTCTATAGTCTAGTCTATAGTCTAGTCTATAGTCTAGTCTATAGTCTAGTCTATAGTCTAGTCTATAGTCTAGTCTATAGTCTAGTCTATAGTCTAGTCTATAGTCTAGTCTATAGTCTAGTCTATAGTCTAGTCTATAGTCTAGTCTATAGTCTAGTCTATAGTCTAGTCTATAGTCTAGTCTATAGTCTAGTCTATAGTCTAATCTATAGTCTAGTCTATAGTCTAGTCTATAGTCTAGTCTATAGTCTAGTCTATAGTCTAGTCTATAGTCTAGTCTATAGTCTAGTCTATAGTCTAGTCTATAGTCTAGTCTATAGTCTAGTCTATAGTCTAGTCTATAGTCTAGTCTATAGTCTAGTCTATAGTCTAGTCTATAGTCTAGTCTATAGTCTAGTCTATAGTCTAGTCTATAGTCTAGTCTATAGTCTAGTCTATAGTCTAGTCTATAGTCTAGTCTATAGTCTAGTCTATAGTCTAGTCTATAGTCTAGTCTATAGTCTAGTCTATAGTCTAGTCTATAGTCTAGTCTATAGTCTAGTCTATAGTCTAGTCTATAGTCTAGTCTAGTCTACAGTCTAGTCTATAGTCTAGTCTATAGTCTAGTCTATAGTCTAGTCTATAGTCTAGTCTATAGTCTAGTCTATAGTCTAGTCTATAGTCTAGTCTATAGTCTAGTCTAGTCTAGTCTATAGTCTAGTCTATAGTCTAGTATATAGTCTAGTCTATAGTCTAGTCTATAGTCTAGTCTATAGTCTAGTCTATAGTCTAGTCTATAGTCTATTCTATAGTCTAGTCTATAGTCTTGTCTATAGTCTTGTCTATAGTCTAGTCTATAGTCTAGTCTATAGTCTAGTCTATAGTCTAGTCTATAGTATGGCCTATAGTCTAGTCTATAGTCTAGTTAAAACCTAGTCTAATCTACAGCCTAGTCTATAGTCACGCCTATAGTCTAGTCTGTAGTCTAGTCTATAGTCTAATCTGAAGTTGATCAGCTATATACTAGTGTCTCGTCAGTTGATTATTGAAACTATGTCAGTTGACTTTAAAGATAATAGCAATTACGTAAAATTTTACTTTTTGGGTTTGGGTTCAATTAAATGTTCCCCAATTGGCCCCTATTCAAATGTTCTGCAGTGTAAACAAGTGCTAAAAAAAACAATTTTAATACTCTAGAGTTTCAAGAATATGGCACAGGAGGAGTTTGAGTATAAATAAAGTGGAAATGTGTTTTCTCAGTGTTTAAGTAAGTGTATACGCGTATGTGTTTGAGTTTGTGTTTTCCGGTATAATATGAAATGAAAAGGATGCTTGATATTCATTCCCGTTGAAGTTGAGCGTCACAAAATTTAAGAAAAAAAAAGAGTGTTGTGGAATTGTATATAGAGTTAAAAAGTATAAATATTTGTTGGTCCATTGAGCACTTGTAAAAAGTAATCGCCTTTAGCACGTTTTCAACTTTAAACAATCTCAAGTAAGAACTACCAAAAAAACAACAACAACTACGGCAAGAAATAGCTGCCTGCAACAATAACAGCAAAATCATTTAAACACCGGCACGTGTTGAAAATTTAAATTTTTGTTTAAAAGCTTAACAACATCAGAAAAAAGTAAAGAAATAACACAAACATGAGAAGTACAAACCCCAACGCATTTCAACTCAAAGAGCCATTAACAGCAAACATTTCAGCAAAATATTAAAAAAATAGCTGCTGCAGCAGTCTAAAAGAACAAACAAAATGAAATGTAATGAAAAATGGGAAAAAAATCATTTCAACGAACCCACTAACCCAAAGACCTTAAAATAGCAGAAAATAGAAATTGAACAACGGCTTAAAAAAATATGAAGTAGTTTTGATAACAAACAAATAAAATTAAATTAAAGTATTAAATTCGTTTTTATTAAGTACTCAACTCAGCACAAATCAACCCTTATGTTTAAACCAAATGAAACGGTAAATCACAAACTCCCCCCTGAAACAACTTCCCCCAAGAGTTTTTGGCTCCCATAGAAATTTATCATAAAATTTGTATCAAATTTAGAAATTATAATTGCTTTTTGAGGTTTATGGTTATTTTTTTTTATGTTTTCATGCTCACAATCGTGTTGTCTCAATTACGAATAAAAACACATTGCAATGTATATGTAGACATACCTGTGTTAGTTGTGACGATGCATAATATGAAATTCTCGAGGGACACACTGATTCGGGTTTCGAATAAATTGTCTCTGCTATCTGATCACCCATGGGCAGTAAAGCTGTTGCATATGGTGAGGGTGTGGGTGAACTACGAAATTCTGTAACATGAAACAAAAAGCACAATTAACTATTAGACACACTTGGTATTTTTCAAGATACAAAATACTTTTGCTATTTATCTAAAAATATTTTAAGGTTAAGTTAGTGTTGTAAAGTTTTAACAACAAAATAATCTTTAACAAACTTACTTTCAAATATGTTGCATGACTTCTTCGATTCACAAGGATATTTATTGAGACTTGCTATGGTGGCATATGAACCACTATTTGCACTGGGTGGACGGCCTAAAGGATCTAAACGTATAAAGACATTTTGATGACTGCCATAAGCAGCGGTTGTAAAACTGGTGCTAAAGATAAGAAAGAGATTAAATAGTAAAATAAATTATGTATGTATGTGTGTATGTAAATGTGTAGTTAAGTATAAGTGCTATTATTTATTTGGTGGTATGGGATTTTAAAGTTGCAACAAATGTGTGATTAAGCCAATCTTGTATGTAGTCAGCATTTATTAATGAACGCAAAAGTACTACATTTGCGTTTTTAGAAATATTAAAAGATTTTAACAATTTAAGGCTTAACACAATTATGGAAAATTTTAAGGTTTGAAATAATATTAAACATTTTATTAAAAAAAGGTTATTTTCCGATTTTACTTTATTACTCTGGATAATAGATGTACAATCGACTAAAATTTGGACGGATACAAAACATTCGGAGAGCTATTTTGCTAGACTCTACCGATACCTGCTTCATAAACACAATCAAGTTTTTTATTATAATTTTACTTACTGTAATGAATCCTGACGTATTTGTTTGCGGGCCCTTAAATACATGGTGCTGGCTATAAGACCCACAACTAAAACCAGACCCAAAGCACAGGCGGCAGCACCCAACAAGGCTGGTCCCTGTGAGGGAGCATGTGCCGGAGCTGGCGATTGATTGGGAGCTGGAAAAAGACCTTGAAATGTAGAAAGTTTGGAAAAATTACTTAACAAAATGGAAATGGATAAATGAGAAATGATAACAATTCGTTTTTATCTCTAGCAACACCAGCAGTGGCGGCTCGAAAATTGTGTCAACCTCATTGTCATCATCATGTGAAAAAAGCTTTAATGTAAAATGAGTAAAATAAAAAAGAATCAACTGGACAAATGTTCTCTTACCTTTAATACAAATTTTATTACGTTTGAAATGTAATTTGGTGTCATTATGTCGTGGCGGTCCCCTCACCAGCATATTTACACTGAGGGGGACTTGTTCGGTAACGTTGCCACTACAAGGCAAATGCACTAGGAATGTTTCCACCTGCTGTGGCACATAACCTTTTTCAGGTATACTAAGGGTGGGTAAGGATAAAGCCTCCTGATCATGGTCATAATCGATGGTAATTGCATATGGCAGCTACGCATTAAAAAAATAAAACAATTTTCAAGAATTTTTGTTAGAACATTTCGGGGGGTAAAGTTAAAGTGGAGTAAAAGATAAAAATGAAATTAAATAGCAAAAACAACAACAACAGCAAGAGAAAATAGCAACAGAAACAAGTAGGTGGTTAATGGAGTGCAAATTGGTTTTTGAGTGGTTGCAGCAACAACAACGGTCGCAGCAGCACTTAGACAAGCCACCATGCCATGCCTTACAGTAGAAAATACAAATACTGGTAGATTGGTTAGTTGGATGGATGTGTTTATATATGTGTTTGTGTGACTTACCGTGGGTGGCTGGGTGTCTGTATGTGTTTGTTTACGTTTTAAGGATAAACTTTAGTGTAACCAAAATACAAAACAGCTGAATGTTATACAGGCACAAAAACAAACGAACCACACTAAACGTGTAAACAGAATCATACAACTACAGACTTGAACAAACAACACATGCACATTTTCCTACACATGCACACCCATTTATTATCTGATAATTTAATGTAATGTGACGTGGGTTCTTCTGTGTGTATGGGTGTGAAGTTTGGGTGGCAATGGTGGGAGTTTAACTGTTTATGCGGTTAAAGTTGGCTGCCATTCTTGCCTGTTGTTGTTGTTGTTATTATTGCTATTGCTGTTTTATGTGTTAAAGTTGGCAACTTACCGGATAAGCTGTGAGACTTTGCCACGAAAATTCGAGGTCATGTACATCTGCCGGCACCGGTACCGTAAAATGCATTGCGTATGTGTTTATTGCTCCCTCGTGTACATAAAATAAATCTGCCTCCAATCCTGTTGTTAGTTTATTGTTGCAGCATCGTTTTTATAGTAGGTGTTTGTTGTTGTTATTATTATGTTGTACAAATCAGTTGAAGTTTTCATTATTGCAGTTGTTGTAGTTTTGGGTTGCAAAAGTTTCAGCCACAAGAGTGAAAAAAATACATGAAAATAGAAAAATAGTTCCATATAGACCATGTTGCATGAATGTTCTTGATAAAAAGCATGAAAGGGGAAAAAGGAAAAGAAAAAACAAAACGAAACATAAATAAATTTACAAACAAACAAAATACAACTCACATAAATTTCTTGTGTCATCTTCTATACTTATTTTTATTGTAATTTGCCTTTTGTATCAATTTACCAAAAAAAAAGGAAACTAAGGTCTGTTGTTACTTTTTCTCCCATTTCATTTAGCCCCCCAACACCCAAATGCTATGACCCTTGCCGCAGTATGTTTTTTATTTCATTATCTAGAATGTCCTGTAATACAATGTCTAAAAGACAGTCTGTCTTATATCCGTCTGTCCGTCCATTTGTCCTTGCCAACTCCTACTCCACTCTACAGCTCATTCATTGTCTTCTTAATAAAGGTGGTGACTCGTAGAATGAATGAACGGATGAAAGAATATATATTAGAGAATGCATGAATTACGTTGTTCTTTGTCAAACAACAGTTTTATTCAATGTCTTAAATCAATTTTGGTGTTGTATTAAACCGGATAAAAAAACTACAGAGGGTGAGAGAGTGAAAGACAGTGTACAAAAAAATAATAAAGAAAACAAGGACTAAACTAAATAGAAATTAACTGTTTACTCTGCTTCATCGTTTGTGTATTTTGTGTTTTTACTTTTTCATTTTTTGTGTATTTCTTTCACTAACTTCTCGCTTTGAGTCTAAATGTTGCAGGGAGAAAATGTTGTTTTATATTGTTGTAGTTTTTTTTTTTGAAACTTTTTTTTTTCTGCTAATACTAGATATGCGGAAGCTTAAAATGAAATTCTTGAGAGATTTAATGTTTCCTTCATAGTACAAAATGATAAAGTAGAGATATTTGTATGTATTTTATGTAGTAATCCTGTAGTTCTGGGTACATATTATGGCTAGAAAGAGGAATACTGGGATTACAAATGGACTATAGATATATGCTATAGTTTATACTTTAAAGTCATTCCTCTCCAGACTACTTAGGGACAAGCAATTCATTCATTTCCCACTAGAATACCTTACATAAGTAACAATTTTCTTTCTCTGTTTATTACAAAGAGTAATATCAACCTATTAATTGTATATTTGTTGAAAATGGTGCTCAAAACGGATACTTTGTTTACTTGTAAAACTGCAGGATATTAATGGGTATATATGAATGTACTTCGCATTGTATAGTTTAGTGTATGTATACACGTTTACACTATTATTCTACTATACTTTTACTATAAATATTTTTAAGAAAGTCATATTAAAAAAAATCTATCAACAAGAGTTTATTTTGTTGGAAAATTAAAGGATGTTTTAATTTTCTTTCTGGAGGAGGGGAATTTTTTTTACTATAGCTGAGCATAGAATTTATAAAAAATTTACATTATTTAAGCTTAACTTTAATTATCTTGCTTTAATTATATCAGAAGAATTTTGGTCAATATTATTGACTGACAGAAGTTGTTATAATGGTGGCAGTATTTGATTAATTTCGCTGATTTTAAATAGTAAAATTTTCGAAATGTGTTACAATAACCAACAGATGTGAAAAGGTACGACTTCCAGCGTAATTTTTAGTCCAGACTATAGTCTATAGTTTAGACTATAGTCTAAAGTCCAGAATGTAATTCTATTGTACAGACTATAGTCTACAGATTAGACTATAGCCTATAGTCCAGACTGTAGTCTATAGTCCAGACTATAGTGTATAGTCCAGACTATAGTGTATAGTCCAGACTATAGCGTACAGTCCAGACTATAGTCTGGACTATGGACTATAGACTATAGTCTGGATTATACACTATAGTCTGGACTATAGACTATAGTCTGGACTATATACTATAGTCTGGACTATATACTATAGTCTGGACTATACACTATAGTCTGGACTATACACTATAGTCTGGACTTTACGCTGCAGTCTGGACTATACACTATAGTCTGGACTATAGACTACAGTCTCGACTATAGGCTATAGTCTAGACTATAGATTATAGTCTAGGCTGTAGACTATAGTCTAAACTATAGTCTAGGCTGTAGATTAGTCTGGATTATAGACTATAGTTAGGACTATATTCTATAGTCCAGTCTATAGACTATAGTCAGGACTATATTCTATAGTCCAGTCTATAGACTATAGTCAGGACTATATTCTATAGTCTGGACTACAGGCTATAGTCTGGACTATAAAATATAGTCTGGACTATAGACTATAGTCTGGAGTATATGCTATAGTCTGGACTACAGACTATAGTCTGTACTATAGAATATAGTCTGGATTATAGACTATAGTCTGGATTATAGACTATAGTCTGGACTATACACTATAGTCTGGACTATACACTATAGTCTGGACTATACACTATAGTCTGGACTATACACTATAGTCTGGACTATACACTATAGTCTGGACTATACACTATAGTCTGGACTATACACTATAGTCTGGACTATACACTATAGTCTGGACTATACACTATAGTCTGGACTATAGTCCAGACTATGGTCTATAGTCTAGACTATAGAATATAGTCCTATAGTCAATAATTCAGACTATAGTCTATAGTCCAAACTATAGTCAATAGTTCATACATATATACCAGAATATAGTCTGCAGACCAGACTATAATCTATAGTCCAGTCCCTATACATAGCTGAGAATATAGTCTATAGTCTGGATTATGTATATGATCCTTAATCCGGACCATAGTCTGTAGTCCCGATAGTCCATATAACAAAATCAAATTATCTCCAAATTTTGATTTCAAAAATATTTTTAAACAGAAATCATTGGTCATTGACCGTAAAGCTCCTGCTTCATGGATATAAGGTCTGATGATACCACGAGCATATAAATCGCACCAAACAGTGAATTTTTCTGGATAATTTGGAGTTTTTGGGGTTTGATATTTGTTGTAGGGTTGTTCAGAGCCATAAATTTCGAAAAGTAATGGCATATGACAGTTCGTTTGACAATTATATCTAACAGGCAATAGTAGAGACATGTTGGAGGCAATCACTTTGAAAAATTTAAAACTATCTATGTTTAGAAGTTAGGGCGATAATATTGACTTTTGTAGCGGAATATAAATAATATTCCAAAAAAACTCTTTTTAAAGCATTTGTAAACATTTCTAAAAAAGCTCATGTTATCA